AGTCCCAATAGAAATTTGCTAAGATACACAATAGCTAAATCCGTAGTTTTTGGTAACTAATTGCACCAATATTTACAAAGATAATAATATCTGATGTATTTTAAAGAAAAAAAGTTCAAAACGTATTAATTTCGTCACATTGACCATGTTATTTTGAAACTTGATTTATTTGATATTATCTTTGTTACATTGATATTTCGTCACGTTGACCATGTTATTTGTTTTGTTAGCACATATATAGAAAGTCTCTCAGGCACAGAGGCACTCAAGTTAGTACTGTCTCTGATGGACCATTATCTTTGTTTTTTCTTTTTGTTTTCTCAATGTACATTAATCCAACGTATGGATCACGTTCAATTTATCATTGTACTGAGTCAAAGTATGGTTTATGAACAACGTGTAGTTTTGGTTTTGAGCTTTTCGATTATATCTTCGTTTGGGTTAGGTTAATTATGATTGCCATAGTTGGCTCTGTTGTTGGATTTGCCATAATTGTTGTCTGTCTTTACTTATTGACAAGGAACAGAAGAAAGGAAAAACCAAGACTTGAAGGTGGAATATTTTTAGTCACAAGTCAAACTATTTTCTCTCGAGAGTTTTAGCTTTAAACACAGCTTTTTGGTTTTGTTGATTTTGGATCAGGCAAAGATGTCCAAGACAATACGATTAAAGATGCACAATTATTGCAACTCGACTTTGATACCATAAGATTAGCAACAATTTCATTTTTGGTATACTTTGATCCATTATATATCTATCTTTAGTTACTTATGTAATGATTGATCCATATCGGTCTTTGTTTCTCAGATTCTAACAGGAGAATGATCTTGGAGTGGGAAACACGTTATCGGATAATCTCAGGTGTTGCTAAAGGTCTCCTTTATCTACATGAAGATTCTCGTTTCAAAATTGTTCATAGAGATCTTAAAGCTAGCAATGTTCTATTGGACGATGCAATGAATCCGAAAATCGCCAATTTTGGAATGGCTAAGTTGTTTGATACAGACCAAACAAGCCAGACCAGGACTGCAAGCAGAGTTGCAGGAACCTAGTAAGCAGCCTTAAAAAAAAACTAAAAGTACCCTTTTACTTTCTGTCAATCCTCTTTAAAAAATCCGGCATTACTCGGTTATTGCAGCGGTTACATGGCTCCAGAGTATGCGATGAACGGACAGTTCTCAGTGAAAACCGATGTATTTAGCTTCGGGGTACTAGTCATTGAAGTCATTACAGGCAAGAGAAACAACTGGTCTCCAGAAGAAGAAAGCTCACTATTCCTCCTTAGCTATGTAAGTAAACTCTTATCGGAGTCTCGACTTTGAGTTTGGGATTCAACACTGTTTTTGTGTGTGCTATATGTATAGGTATGGAAAAGCTGGAGAGAAGGGAAAGTGTTAAACATTGTGGATCCAAGTCTGATTGAGACAAGAGGTCTAAGTGATGAAATCATGAAATGCATTCACATTAGTTTGTTATGTGTTCAAGAGAATGCAGAGAGTAGACCAACAATGGCTTCAGTTGTTGTAATGCTCAATGCAAACTCTCTCACTTTTCCGAGACCCTCGCAACAGGAGACAATCACACAAGTAGTATTGCGTCTTTAAATCATGTTACAATCACTTATCTCGATCCTCGTTGAATAGGGTTAAACAAATTACTGTATTTTGCTTTAAAGCTTACTTCAGTATGATTGTTGAATTGAATTGAAGACCAAAGCTTTTGGTGGTGTTGTAATATATTTGTTACACTTGTGATCTCAATTTGGTGTGGGTTTATTGAGTAACCAAGAACTGCATTTGTAAAGAAGAACAAGTTTCGAATCCTTCTTCTTCTAGGTAAAATCTCCTCTAAATAAGACTTTAGAAGTAGCCATTCTCATTCATCAAATCAGGGCAAAACTGTTCTATTTCCCATCTCTCTGTTTACGTATTATACAATTCAGTGTTCTGAATTAGAATTACAAATCTAACATCATAGCAGACAGATGGAGAAGCTGAGAAAAACATATTGAAGTGATCATCTTGGAATGGATCTTGATTCTCATCTTCCATTGCACAAGTTTCGATTTTGTGAACAGGAGATATAAACATATAGCTTTCAGTGATTATCAGCTACTACTCCCCTATCATTGTTAGTTGTTGCTTGAGTGTCTGAGACCACGGATGCAGCGACTGAAGAAGCAACCCTGTTCGGTTTCCCTCTCTCATCAGGTTTCTTACCCCAACAATTCTTTGTAAGATGTCCTTTCCTCCCACAATTGTCACAGACAGTGGTGACTCTCCCGTCTCTCTCAGGTTCTTTCCTCTTCCAACCTATGCTCTGAGATCCCCTATGCGTTGTTCCTAGACTCGGTCTCCTTTCCAGACTTGGTCTCCTTTCCATGTGGCAAGAGCCTGTGGCTGGTCTATATGTAACCCCTTGCGCTCCATTTCTGAGATACTCTTCTTCAGCTTTTACTCGTTCCATCAACATCCAGACCGGTAAAAACTCCTCTTCCATCAACCTGGTGCAGAAGCCTCTCCACGACGAGGGAAACTTGGAAATGATGGTACTCACATGAAATGTCTCATCGAGAAACATACCGGCACTCACTATGGAATCCGCAATCCTGTTAAAGTCTTGGACTTGCTCGAGTATCGGCCTCTCTTCCACCATATTGAACTCAATGTATTTTCTGACATGCGACCTCTTTGAATTGGATTCCTCACATTGGTAGACCCATTTTAACTCGTCCCACAATTCTTTAGCATGCTTGAATTTCTTCGAGTATTGACGGTATAGATGATCTGACAAAGATTTCAACAAGTGATTGTGGCAGAGGTAATCATCTCTCAACCAATTTTTCCCAGCAGCATCAGCTTGATTTATATCGCTTGGGTTGGTTTCAGGGCCTTGAGAGTTACCGGTACCAGGAGAAGGTTCAAAGAGAACATAACTGAGATTCAATTGCTTCAAAAAGAGTTCCATCTGTGATGCCCAACAATGATAACTTTTCCCATCAAAACGTGAAGTCTCGATAGGAACAAAACCGCCAGTGCTATTGTTATCCACAGCCTCAGACGTATCTCCATTTTTGGTTCTACAAAATGTGTAATCACGAGATAAGCGGCATGCATTGCTTCCTATCGATGAAACACTAACGCGCAATACCATGACGAAAATAATATGCGATAAAACACTAAAAGCAGAAGGTAACATTCTCACAGTGATTTTGATTGGGACTGCTTAATGGCTTCCTCTATTGCTGCGAAATTTTTCTTGATCTCAAACCATTGGTTAGTTGGAAAATGTATTCCTGATAGAGAAGAAACATGAAAGCTTTTAGCATGAAGTCGATACAGTAATGTACGAAGTACACATTAAAAGAAACCGAAAGAGGATATTAGCAAAGGAAAGAAATGTTTCGCATAACCTCATTAGCGAACTAGAAACGAGCAAAAGAACAATCCGTGCAGCAAAATCTAGCAGTGGAAACACTAATAATAGAAAATCAACAGGAGCGTAAAACTATAACTAAAATAGCTTCTTGAAACCAATCGAGAGTACACAAAGTTTGTTCCAAATTACCTCTAAAAGGCTTTTTACATCCCGGAGTAGTCTTCCCGATCGAAAGAAAAGCTCGGCCTTTGTATCTATCAACCGTCACAATTTTCTTCTCCGATAACTATACTTAAAGACCAACAATTTCAAGTA